TACAGTACGGGGGGGGAGGGGGCGAACGTCAAGCAAAATTTGCAGAAGATTGACTATCACTCGCGCAAACCGGCATGGGGGCGATATTTAGAAATTCTTCCAAAGAGCAAAACACATTGTCGAGCAAAAAGAACATCCGCAACCAAAGTCCTAAGATTAATTTTTTAAAAATACTGTTTATAATAGGTTACCTCTTTAAAAAGTACTTTACTTAGATATTCAGCTGATGAATTTCTGTGGATGTTACCTTTTTCCAAGGTAATATCAAAATGAACATGTAAATTTTTTACATTAAAAAAATTTTACCTGAAGAGAAATTATTCGATTTGACTGGGAGTTAAAGAATTCACGTTTCTCTTTATATTAGAGTCATGATTATCAGGCCGCAGTCCATCAACAAGCGCAAGGATTTGGCGTTTCCCTACTGTGAACTGAGACATTGCCTGAGCAAAAGAATCGGTTATGTGGGAAGGGCCGGGCCCAACAACAACTCTGACGACAGTGAGCATAATTGTCACGCAATTACCAAGCCCGTATCCGACATGGACAAGGAAATCGCGGCAATTAATGAGTCAAAAGCGAAGTGTCAAGCCATCACCGCACCAAGTAAGACCCAAGTGGTGGCTACAGGAGTGGATAATTATATTATACACGCGGATGACCGCTACGAACTATAACTACCATGCAATCTGTGCATGTTTCACTCCTACCTGCGCATGTCTCAGCCTATCTTACCATTACCTATGATTGAGGATTCCCGACGGAATCTGAAACGTCAGGAAAATTAAATTCTTGCTCCAGTGGTCGCGTCTTTTTCTGAACAGCTTCCTGGAGTTCGCATATTCACCTATATTGGCAATTGGATTATTTTCTGCCATAATGGATTACTTCCAGGCTCTGTTATAGGCTTGCGAATTCAAAAAGTGTGGCCATATTTACATAGCAAAATTCTGACATAATCATTATTCTTCCGTCTGTTTCGTTTCTAACTTACACATAATCAGAAATTATAGTGTACAAAAAAGTATATTTTCACATGATTTATATTTAATAAGATTGGCTTTTACATAAATGTTCGCGATAATATGTCACCAGCTTTGCTTATGACATTCTAAAACTTGATGCGGTTAAACAAAATGCGCTTAAAACGTTTTTACTGCAATTTGTGCCAAAAAACTTGAAAGACTGGCAAAAAATGATTTTTAAAACTGAAATTGTTCTTTGTTTGTGGAAATAAATGCGATTCCTTAATATTAGCTTCCCTTACATTTGAGCAACTTCGGACTAAATTTTCTGGTTCCGGGAGGGATATTTTAAACTTTTCCTAATTATTTTGGGATTCTTCCATAGCACGATGCAAATTACTAAAACGTTTGGTTCTGCCGACATGAGATGACTCCCAATTTCGCCAAAATTAATGCTCGGTAACCTGAATAAACTTAACTAGACAGGCGATTTTCCTAAGTAAATGGCTTTCTCAGGAGTAAATCCGCTCATTGCATCAAAATAACATGACCAAATATGTGTTAAATTACAAAGTCAAATTTCGTCATGAAAGTTGCACTATTTCTGGGCTATACCGTAGGTGGGGTGACCGAAAGCCTAGCAGCAGGCTTTCACGCCCCCCCACTCCCTCCGATAGCCAAATTAAATTAGGATGAGTGAATATGCTGGGTTGAGCGCAGTGGTCGACCCACAGTCAGCACTCTGCCAGCGCGCGCGGGCCGATTTCTCATCAAAATCGAAGCAGACACTGAGCACCTGAGAGGTCGTCATAGTGATGACAACCCCATTAAGAAAGCAGTCATGGTGGTCGGCCGCGTTGACGACATACAGTCCGGGGG